AATACCTAATTGATGATTATTATTCAATTAGAATTTATCGATTGGTATCAATTCGCTAATAAGTCATGTTAACAACAGTTTGCTATGACAATTTATCATGAAATTCATTATAATGATTCGTCAACAAATCTATAATATGATTCATTACGGATTTCATTAAACGAATTCTGTTTAATGATTTGTTCATTAATGAATCTGTAATACAATTCATTTAAATGATTCATTACGGATTTCGTTAAATGAATTCCGTTTAAATGATTCGTTTAAATAATTCGTTATAATTTTCATTAAATGAATTCTGTTAAATAATTTGTTATACGAATTTCGTTTAAATGAATCATAATGAATCATAACTCAATTCATTACGAAATTCGACATATTAAATTGTAACGAATTATGTTATAATGATTCATTTATACAAATTTTATTTAAACTAATCTTAACGAATCATAACGAATTTTGTTGAACGATTTATTACAAAATTTGTAATAATGATTCGTTAAGAATTTCATTAATGAATCTAAACGAAATTTGTTAAATGATGATGAATTTTACATTCAAAGGCGATTTTCGTCATTTTGAAGACGAATTTTGCATTCAAAAGTGAAACTTTGTCAATTCAAAGACAAATTTCATTTCAAAAGTGAAATTTTGCCAATTTGAGATGAATTTTGTCATTTTGTAATGAAATATCATATTCAATGATGATTTTTATTTTCTATTAATATTTAACCTTATCAGAATCACCCTTTTCTCTTTTTCTTTTCTTTTTCTTTTTTTTAGAAACTTTTTTTTCTCAGTTTTAACTAATATTTTTTTCTTTTTTTATAGTAAATATTCTTTCTTTTAGATAAGGTACAGTAAGTGGCTTTTCAGGACTATTTTTCAGCTTTTTACTTATTTTTTTACCAAACTTTCTTTTTTTTGTATAATTTAAGTAGCTTTTCTATGGTGGGTTTCAGATTTTTACTAATTTTTTTCTTTTTTAATAGTAATTGACATTTTTTGCTATTAGTTAAGGTAAATCTACAAATCAGAATGTAGTTTTTTCAAATTTTTTTTTCTTTTTTTTATTAGGAGTGGATTTTTTCTTGCTTATTGGCTAAGGTATGCTATAAATCAGAACTGTTTTTTGGATTTTTACTACTTTTTTTTCTTTTTTAGTAGAAGTGGATTTTTTTGCTATTGGTTAAGGTTAAAGATGGGAACTGTAATTAATATGTTGCGATTTTTAATGTTGCAACTTATGTTGCAATTAATTTTAATCTATATATGTTGCAACTTATAATATTACAACATATGTTGCAACTAATTTTAGCTTATGTTGCAACATTTGAAATTAATTGCTGTACTATTTTTAGTTAAGGTAGTTAAGGTAAGTCTACAAATCGGGATGGTAGTTTTTACTAATTTTTTTTCTTTTTTAATAGTAATTGACATTTTTTGCTATTAGTTAAGATAAGTCTACAAATCAGAATGTAGTTTTTTCAAATTTTTTTTTTCTTTTTTTTATTAGAAGTGGATTTTTCTTGCTTATTGGCTAAGGTATACTATAGATCAGGACTGTTTTTTGGATTTTTACTATTTTTTTTTCTTTTTTAGTAGAAGTAGATTTTTTTGCTATTGGTTAAGGTGGTTAAGGTAAGTCTACAAATCAGGATGGTAGTTTTTCTAATTTTTTCTTTTTTTTATTAGGAGTGAATTTTTCTTGCTTATTGGCTAAGATATGCTACAAATCGGGACTGTTTTTTGGATTTATACTTTTTTTTTCTTTTTTAGAAGTGGACTTTCTTTGCTATTGATTAAGGCAAGTATGTTTACAAATCGGGATGGTAGTTTTTCAGATTTTTACTAATTTTTTTCTTTTTTTATTAGAAGTAGATTTTTCTTGCTTAATGGCTAAGGTATTCTACAAATTAGAACTCTTTTTTTTGTTGTTTTTTTGGATTTACTATTTTTTTCTTATTTTATTAGGAGTGGATTTTTCTTGCTTATTGGCTAAGATATGCTACAAATCAGGACTCTTGTTGTTATTTTTTGTATTTTTTTTCTTTTTTAGTAGAAGTGGACTTTTTTGCTATTGGTTAAGGTAAGTCTACAAATCGGAATGGTAGTTTTTTTAAATTTTTACTAATTTTTCCTTTTTTAATAAGTGTAGACTTTTCTTGCTTATTGGCTAAAGTAAGTCTACAAATCAGAACTCTTTTGGTGATGTTTTTTCAGGTTTGTACTAATTTTTTTCTTTCTTAATAAGAGTGATTTTTTTCTTATCAAATATAGCAAATAATTAAATTTAATAAATTTATAACAATCGGAAGCTTATATTTATAAATATACTTTTCTTATAATTAAAGTATTATATTAATGTAAATCATATTAATAATAAAATTCTTTTTATTATAATTAATCAGGATTACTTACTTATATAAAATAAACAATTATAAAATTATCTATATTATAAAAATTTGATAAAATGTTACTAATCGGAATATGCTATTTGTATAATAGATAACAATAGAAATATCCCTATTGATAATTTAGGAATAATCCGATTGGAAACTGGATGTTAATAAATTGATATTAATCTATTGATATCTTTATAACACCTAATTAGAACTTTATTGTATCCTATCTGCGTCATTATTCAGGATTACCTGATTCTAAAAAAAATAAAAATAGGATACAAATACGATCAAATTTGACAACCCAGATTTGATCCGATTGGTTCCCTATTTATCATCATTTAACTAGTGTAATCTAATCATATGGTATTATTTTTTATAATTAATATTAGGTACAGATTTTTATTAATAATAAATATATTTTTATATTTTATAATATTAAATTTTTTTAAAATTTTATATAATATAATAAAGTTTTTCGATAATATTTATATGAGAATAAAATCAATTTATTAAGTAGAAAATTAAAAAAGAAATGTAAAATAAAAATAAAATAAACTAATTATTTAAACTAATTCTTTAGGATCCCTTTCTTCATCATCTTTGCTATCATTTGTAGGAGTAATAATTAGAAGTACAGTATTATCTATATATATTCACGATCCTAAGGATATTAAATTTTCAATATCTAACCTTTCATCAATATTTTGTAATGATGATTTTTCTTCTAATTCATATAAAATTAATTCTTCATTATTTTTATTTTCTTTTTGTAAACTCCTTTTTTATAAACAATATTTAGCATTTGTTGTATATTATAACTATTTGATGTAACATAATTTAAATTTTTTTATTAGTAAGATTATAATGATATATTTTTGCTATAGATTTTAATGTTTATGTATTTAAATTTGTTCTTTGTTTTTCAAAAAATTATCTAAGTGAAGAAAATAAATGTTCATAACTTGTTAAATATGATGTAATAGAAAAAATAATTTTATTAACCTAGATAATGAAGAATATCTATCAATAATAGAATTTCACTATAAGTATGATGTATTTTGATTAGATGTGTAAGGTGAATTATAACAACTATCTTGATTAAAATATTTATGAATTTGTGCATGCAATTCTTGACCAGAAGATTTTTTATGACTAAGATTTTTATGCAGTATTTTGTAAAATATAAAATATGTATCATAAATACCATGCCTAATAATTAATATTAAAATTGTTATTTTGCAATTATTTTAATAAAAAATAAACAAATAATTTAATTACCTTGGTATTGTAAATGAAGAAAAAAAGCTAAAAGATAAAGATCATTATTAAATTCTAGATATCTTAAAAATATAAATTAAATATTAGATAATAATTAAGTTTAAAAAGTAATATTAAACAATAATTATATAATAATACCTTTATTAAAAACTTGAATACAAGTATTTTTTAAGGTTCGATAATCAATCATTGACATTATTTTAAAATATGCCACTATTCTAAGTAATTGGAAATAGCAATCTACGAAAGTAGTATTTTTGCTTTTTAAAACTAATATAGCATCTTTAATTAGTTTAAGTATTTCTGATAAATGTCTAACATTATCAAAAAAACCTCACTTCCTTAATATTAATTTAATAGAATCTTTTTGATTTCATTTTCATAATGATTTAATACTTAATTAAAATAAAAAAATTTTGTTATTTTTTATTTATTTAAATAATATATATTAAATAAATTGCTATAAAAAAAATGCTAAAAATATAAAATATACATATTGTAAAGCTTTTTTTAATCTTCACATAGAAGCTTCACATTCATAAATTGTTATTCAACGAGTTTTAACATATGTTTTTAAATTTTCTCTCTTAATATCTTTTATATTAATAGCCTTTCTTAATCAAGATCTAGCAATATATGATTTTTGAAAAAACTTTGTCAGAATATTACAACATTTCACAAGATATTCAACTTGCGTTATTCTAATAATATCTGAATTAATTAATTAATATAATGTGTGATACATTTAATATTAATTATATTTGGATTTTTCTGAATTACTATTTATCTGGCAGCTGCTATATTTTTAGCATTATCTGATACAATTGCTACAAATTTATCTATACCAATTTGTTCAATTACATCAAAAAATAATATTAGATAAACTTTGTGCATTATGATATTTACTTAAAATATCTTCAAATCATAAAAGATATTCTTTTCTTGAAGGAGTTAAAAGTCCAAATATTATTACTTCAAGAATCTATCCACCCATCTAAAACTATTACATAAAATAAAAGATAATTAATTAATATTTGATTCAAATAATTAATTAAAATTAATATAATAATTATGTAATTCTTTCTGATAGTAAAATCATTTTTTTAGTTATTTCATTTTTTATTTTTATATTAGTTCTAGCTAATTCTGCCTATAATAAAGATCTATTTAATACTCAATGTAAAGGTACATCATATGCTAGTCGTAATATTTTTATTAGATTAATAAACCATGGGTTTTCAATAGTACTGAATGGAATATTAGACATTATAAATGTTTTGGTAATAATATGATCTATTTTATCAATTTTTCCTTTTTCTAATTCTTTGGTTCAAAAAAATTGAACATTGCTGTTTGTTTAGATTTTTTAATAGGAGGTTCATTTGATTTACTAGAAATATATTCAACTTCAATATCTTGCTTTCCTTTATCTTTACCTATAATACTTGCATAATATAAACTAATTTCTTTAGGATATTTTTTACAAAAGTTAGCTAAATATTCGTGAAGAATATAAGGTTTTCTATGTTTCCAATATAATTCACAGTTATTACAAGTTGCTGAATAATGTCTCTTTGATTGTTTAGGACCCTTTAACATATAAACCCAAACATCTGAAAATGGTTATTCACCTCTTTTAAGATTATTAATAATATTAGAGTTAGTTGTCATTTTAAAAAAGCTAAAGTAAAAAAAAATTAAACAAAGCTCAAGAAAGCTAAGAGAAATTAAAAAAAAACCAAAAAAAAACCAAAAAAAAAGCTTTTTAAAAAAATTAAAAAGCAAAATAATTTTGTTAAAGTAAATTCGCGAAATGATTTATAAAGTATTATAAAATTAAATCTGTAATATTTTTAAAAATTTTTTATTAAAAAATTTAAACATATTTTTCTTGAAAAATTTATGCATTTTTTTCAAAGCTATTTATTAGAAAATATTTATATTATTTATTATACTATTAAGTATTATTTACATTATCATATGAATTTTCAAGCCACAAAAAAAATTTGAGTAGTATTATATAATTTATAATAGAATAATTATTTGTGCAATTGCAATATAATAAATAATTAATTTATTGCAGAATAATTAACATATTACAAAATAATTATCATATTGCGGAATAATTATAATGTTGCGGAATAATTATTATATTATAAATTTATACAACTATATTTATAAATTCCGCAATATTGCGAATTTTAAAAAATAATAATGGATCCATCTTTAGTAGAGATAAATTGTATAATTAGTTTTTAAAGCTAGGAGATGTCATTAAGTTCAGTCAAAATAACCAGCATTATTACAAAATTCTTCAAATTTCATATTCAGCTTTTAGTAAATTTTTACTTTTTGCTTTTTCACTGAATTAGGAAGATTTAAAAACTGACCGTTAGAAATTAAACTAGCTGCTGATTTTGAAAACTTAGAAAGAGCATATTTGTTGTAGAAGAAATTATACTATATTTTTTACCCATAGTTAAAGTGAATGAGAAGGAAATGCAAATAAAAAAGTTGAAGTAAACTGAACGAAAGTTGAAGTGAAAAAAAAAGGATAACGAAAAAGATGATCAATAGTTGGTTGTATACTATTAGTAGTACCAGCCGTTGGAGTCAGAGTCGATGGCTGAGTTGACTCTGCAATTCGGAATTTTCAATGACTGAGCCATGACTGAGTCGCTGTTCCAAATTTGATATAAGGTCAGAATATTGTGAAATTTTAATTAAATAAAACTTTAAATTTATAGTCAGATGGGATTCTTGTCAACATTATTTATGATGAAACTTATAATTATCTTTTTTTTGCAACATTAATTAAATTTTAAAAATTTTTAATAAATATTAAGATATTAATAATACAATTATGGTCGCTAATTTCAAATGAGAGTCTCGACTCAGTCGACGGCTGAGTCGACTGAAAAGTCTCTAACGGCTGACTGAGTCGACTCCAGAATTTTTCACGACTGGTATTACTATATACGTTATAACGCAATCGAAAATAACTATTACTTATAACACTGCGCCTTTTTAATCACAATATATTAACATTTTAAATTTATGTTTGGGTGATGAAATACTTTTGAGCGCCACTGTATAAGGGCAAGAGTTTGGTACATGGAGTTCGGTGCTGTTTAAATCGTTTTGGTCAGTTCAGTATAAATTCATACCTATTAAATACCTTCATTTTATATTAATGATCGAAATCTTTATTCAATTTCATATAATTACGGACGATATACAGTATTTATATACGGGGAAGCATTCCAATTATATGCTGAATGAAACTTTATTTGAAAGAAATTGTTTTTGAGGGTAATAATTAAATTTCATTAGCAACAACTCCATATTCGCAGAAAATATCAAATTAAAAACCCTGTCGTTTGGATTTATCTATGAATTCAATAATCCTAGGGATTAAATTGTCTGATTACCACATGTGGGGCAGATTTCATGCCATGTTATTGTGAGGTAGGAACCCGTCGGGAATTCCATTATCAATTTAATTGATTTGGTAAAATGTGATTACTATAAATTATTCACAAAGTTCAATTTGATGTTTATTTGCTGTTTATGTCCGAACTTTCCTATAAATTTTTCCAATGCAGGAAATGAAAGTAACGTGATGACGCAAACACCAGTTCATGCTTTTTTTTTAGATACTATACCACGATATACTAAATGTTGATTTTTGTACATGAATATATACCCTTCACTCATTGTATCATTTCATTCAAATGTTATTTATTAGCAAGAATTTTCGGACTTGGGCGAATATCGTTCACAAATTTAAAATAGAACGATCATAATTATTCAATAAAGTATTCCAACTATTACTGCCATAGCTGACGCCTGTAATAAATCCAAACTGTCTAATTCTACTTTCTACCGAAATAAAAAATTAAATTATTCTATTTAAGTTTTATCACGATGGCATTTTCTTAAAATCAGTTAATCGAACGGTCGAGGAAAACATAAAAGATCAAATAGAAATTACAAAATACGATCGTCATAATAAATTTCGAAATAAGGCGCAGTCAACAGAGTATGTTCGATCAATTTATAAAATTTTTTTACAAACGATAATCTAACAAGACCGGGGGGGGGGGGGGGTAAGATTTATTAAGCACAAAATTATACTAACTATTACTACAACTATCCTTAAGGAATTTATGCCCACAAAAAAAGTCTTGAACTTTCTATCTAAAACAAAAGTAAATCAAAATCTATAAAAAATTTCATACTTTGAAAATATCAATTGATCAATTAATTAAAAGCAACAAAGGTCTTTCAATTAGATAATGCAATGTCAGCAGATGCCGTAGCAAATCTAAAAATCAGGCGCAGCTGGTGACAAAATCAGGCTTAAATATCACATTGCATAAAATGCTTTTTAAAATGCCAGCCTTGATCTGGACATCTACAAATAACTGCTTATTACGAAGATTTATTGACAAAAAAAAAAATATCATTGAAAATTTCTTTTTTTATTTTCTGAATTCACGATCATCAATGCTGCATATTGTTCATTCTATTCACTTAATTTGGATGAAACTCCTTGTTTAACTCGTAAAGCATTATAAAAAAAAAAATATCACTGAAAATTTCTTTTTTTATCTTATACTTCCCGATTATTAATGCTCTTAATTTGGATGAAATTCATTGTTTAACTTGTAAGCATTATAAAAAATCATTGAAAAATTTCTATTTTTTTATCTTCTGAATTTACGATCATCAATGCTGCAGCTATTTTCATTCTATTCACTTAATTTGTATGAAACTCTTTTCATTGAAAATTTCCTTTTTTTTATCTATTGTTGCAGAGTTTTTTTATATTATTAAATGAAAAACCTTGTTTAACTCGTAAAAAAAAATCGTTTAAAATGTCTTTTTTATTCCGATTATCAAAGCTGCAGATATTTAATTGATTTGATTATTTCATCTTACTTGTTTAACCATTAAAGTAATGTAATTGAAAATTACTTTTTTTTATATTCTGAATTCCGATTATCAATGCTGCTGTTGTAGATTTTTAGATTTTCATTTTATTTAATTGATACAAGTGAAACATCCTATCCTATGTCTTGTTTACCTTTATTTGGCGTTATTCCTTTTATTTTTTGGAGACTCAAAATTTAATTTAAATAGAGTAGCTGATTCGATCATTTATTTAATCATATCATTCAATTTTTTTTAATTAATATCTTAATATTAGGATGTCTATCAAAAATTTTAACATTTTAAGCTGTTTTCTTATCTTGCTGTTCATAATTAATTACGGCAATGCAGAACAATTTGTAGTTAACCTTGGCAGTATTTCTAATCCCTCTACTGTTAATGCAACGCTTACTGACGAGGTAGGCTTTAATTATTCAAAATTAATCTTAAAATGTCTTTTTAAATCATTAATAAATACATGTATTACTTTTGTTAGATAACATTTATTTTGGTTGATGGCGCGTTGTTTGCTGAAACTGTTGATAAAAATTCTTGTCAACAACCAACTTCGAAAGTTTCATGTATGTACGAAATTAATTTAAGTCCAATAATACTTTCACATCAAATGTTTTTTTATTAATATTTAAAAAATTTCTATAATTAGCTTTCAATATAAAATCTGAAACGACGACATCTGTTACAATCACACCTAAAGGAATTGGCCAATTTTACATAATTGGTTTATTAGATGATAAATCATGCAGTTTGTGTGAAATTAATGTTATCAGTAAAAATAATTGTGCCGTTATTAACAATAATAGTGGTGAAAATGATGGTCAAATTAACTGTAATACTGGTACTATCAATGTCAAAGCAGATAATAAGATAAATATTATTTCTGGGGTTTTATCGACTTTTATTTTAATTCTAATTATAATACTTATGATACTTGTTAGAAAAAATAGAATTAATCAATCTAAACAATCTTTACCTCAAACATGAGAACACCATTTTTCAAAACGGTCAAATGAGTAAATAAATAATCTATAGCTCAAAATTTTTTTATTTTTTTTTCTTTTATTTTGACAAAATAAAGCAGGAGTTATTTTCATAATCGTTTACGACAATTAATTAATTGTCATTTATATATCAAAAGAAATAAAAAATTTTTTAGTTAACTTTTAAACGTATTAATCTGCTTCAACCTGATTTGTATTGTATAATAATTGTATAAACCTTTTTAAGGAAACATGCACACATGCAATAAGGCCGTTGAATTCCGATTATATAATTTCGATTAAATAAATAATTTGAGTGAAACATTCATTGTATATCTTGTGTAAGTGTAAGGTTTGCTTTAAATAGGGGTCGAATCGTTAAAAATTGTTCATATCAAATTAAAATTAAAATTTTCACAAAAAAAAAATACGGTTCTAATATTCGAAATTAAAAAATGTCACCAAAAAAAGTTATTATAATCATTTTTTGTATTGCATTGCTTTTCATAATTGATTTTGGTAATGCAGTAGAAATTGAGGTCATCCTTGACCAGCAATTTGATCATCTTACAGTTAATGCAATCCTTGGAGATGAAGTAAGGTTTAAAAAATAAAAAAAAAGAATATAAAACTTTGTCTTTAGCTAATATTTGTGTGTTATTATATCAGATACGGTTTAAAAAAGCTAATTTACTTGACCAGGCATTCCTTACCGAAACTGATGAAAAAACTTCTTGTTGGCCATCTTCAAAACCCGACGCATGTATGGTCAAATATTAATTCATTGATTTTTCGTTCAAATGTGTTTTAATTAATTAAATACGTATATATATATTTTTTTCAATTAGTTTTTGAAAATTTATCCGATACACAACCATCAGTTATATTTATACCTAAAAAGACTGGCCAGTTTTACATAATTGAGATTAACGAATGCAGTTCTTGTGTAATTAACGTCATTGAATCTACCTTCTCTCCTGATAAGAGGCAAGTTAATAATGATGGTAATAATAATGTCAACAACGATGGGAATAATAATGGAAACAATAATAAAAGTAACAATAATTGTACCGTTATAAACAACAATGACGACAACGATAACCAAATTAACTGTAATATTGGTCATGTTGGTGACTATAGTTCCGATTCTTCTGGTACAAGTACTATTATTGCTACGTTAGCAACCGTATTTACTGTTGGATTCCTCATATATTAATATAATATTGGAATAAATAAAATTTCTACATCGACAATAATTATTGTTTTATTAGCTTTGCTTCTGATATAAAGACATTTTACACAATACAGCATCCTAATATATTAAAACCCTTTACAATGACAACTAAATAATAACTGATATACATATAGCCTTATCTCTTACATTTAAAGTCATTATTTTTGCTTAAAAAAATCTGATTAGTTTTTATATAAGAATCGTTTTTAACATAGTTTCTTTTATATATTAGTTATATTTTAAAAAATAAATCATAACGGAATGTTCAAAAAAAAAATTAAAAACCAAAAAAAAAAGAATGGAATCAAAAGGGTGGACTGCATCAGGCGATCGAATCCAGAAGTTAAAAATTAAAAAAATGTATAACACGTACTTTCGAAGTTACCCGAACCGAGAATCTATTATTAATATAAGAATTATAAGAAGGATTTTTTTTAAAAAAAAATGAAATTTAAAATGAAATCAAAAAAAGATAGATCCCAATAAAAAAAAAAGAAAAGTAAAAAAAAAATTGTAGATTTGCTAAATTTGCTACACCTATAACAGATAAGGATAGTGTAATTATAAAATTTTTTTTTGGAAACCACTTTTTTTAGGTCGTACAAAATTTTTATAACCCTTCGATACCATCACATGACATGATTACTTTGCATTGTTATTAAATTATAAATACAAATATATCAATCTTATAAATAAGGAGATTATCCACTATGTATAAGATTAATAAAAAAACTCGAGCGCCAACGTTAACAATAGTACCCAACATGACCATTAGCAATATCTGAAACTCCATTCTGATTTACTAAATTTAATATGGTATCAATGAATAGTAAATCATGAAAATCAGTCCTACCATCATCCATATACTTATTACTTTTTCATTTATAGTAATTTTAAATGTTTATGCACCTCGTGTAACTTTAATATTATGCAGACATTGATCAGTTTACAATATGATTTGTTGGCATTAATAGGCGATGATTATTACATTGTTTTTATCGGTAAAAAAAGAATAAAAAGGAAAAAAATAAGAGCTTTGCCTGTTTTGATTTTATTGATTCGAACATAAATTTTTAATATTTTTTTGTGATTATTTTGTTAAAAATTAAAATTTTCTTCACATACAGTATATTATTTAATAAATTAAAATTCCAAAACACGAAAAAATGTTATAGACGATAGATTTTTAACCAATAATATTGACGAAGTATAAATGAACGAAATGGAGTTTATTTTTGTCTTCTCTATCATTATCTGTTTAAAGAACGAGAAATGATGAAGGGTTAATTGCAAAACATACATTCCTATTTCTATCATTTGTATAATTGAACTTTACGCCGTGGAAAAATTAGTACTTTATTAAATTATAATGCAAATGAACTTCAACTTTATTAATCTTAGTATGAATATAAAAATTAGGAGAAGTACATTCTTAACATCCCTAATGAATATTTTATGAATAATTAAATATAAATCTATTTTACGCTAATATAAGGAATCCAACGCTAATCACTGAAGTCATTGCACCAAAAATAAGCCCTGTATCTTTTAAATATACTCGAGTGCCAGCACTAACAATCGTACCCTGATTGCAACCACCTTTACTATTACCGACATTGCCAATGTTGTTACAAGTGTCGTTGTCGATATTTTCATTGGTGTTGTTGCTGTTGTTGCCACTGTTATTGTTGCTATTATTGCCGTTGTTGTTTCCATTATTGTTATTGTTATTGTTTTCATTATTGTTTCCGTTGTTGTTTCCATTATTATTGTCATTATTATTACCAGTATTATTAATCTGTCTCTTTCTAGGAGAATATTCCGCCTTTGATTCGGTAAAAATTACGTCGTTAAGAAGACCATCTCTTTTAAATTTTTTCTGATAAAATAATTCATATAGGTAAATTTAAGTGTTTTATGCTTCAAAAAATAATTAAATACCATAAATAAAGCTTACATCATCTCCGAGTCTTTCATTAATTGTAGAGCGTTTAAAATCCTGTCCAAGTATCGCATCGAACTTTTCTGCGTTATCTGCGTTATCTGTAAATGCTCGACAATCAATTATGAAAAGAAAAAGAATAAGGAAATAGATCGTGTTTGCTTTGGTTGACATTTCTTATTGTATTTATAAAAATAGGTGAAAATTTTTTGATAAAACCAAAGTGATTTTTTTTGATGACTTTGATGACTTTGATTCATTTTCAAGACTATTTAAATTTAAATTCAATCACCAAAATAAAGTAAATAAGGCCTAATGTGTAAAACAAAAATTCATTGTAAGTACTTAATTCTTACTGATTTCTTTCGTGTGTAAAGATCCTCTTTCGGGTTTTTGAAATGAAAAAAAAGATTAATTATGCAAGAAATTTCTTAAACATTGAAACTCCGAAATTTCATTCAGGATTACCGAATTTAGTATGTTACCAGATTGTCAATCACTCTGATCTTTTTTTAATTAAATGTTTCTCAGCCCCAATACATGCATGCATACTGTGGCTGAACTTATGTGTTGTGTAAGATCAAATTATCGAGAACATGTGAAAAGATTGTTTACAATTATTATATTGCGGCATTGATACAATGTTTATATTTAAAAGATTTTCAGGATAATAAAAGTGCAAATTAAAGAATAAGCTACGAAATAGTGTTTTATTAAAATATAAATTTTAAAAATTAAAAATACATTCTTAAATGACATTGTTATTGTTATTATTTCTTTCTTTAAGTTTCTTTCTAAGTTTAATAAGTGCGGTAATTAATCCCACAATTCCTGTTAAACCTCCTACTACAGTTCCAATCGTTGCAACTAAACTTAGAGGCGATGAATTCGAATTCGAATTTGATGTACTATTATTTGATGTGGGAATTTGGTTTGCATTTGTATCGTTCTTTTGCGGCGTTTCATTTGTTTTTCTAAAAGAAAATGAAGAAATGATCTAGATTAATTAAAATTGAAATTAAACGAAACGAAAATATTTTAAGAACATACATACCCTCCTTTTTCGAGTTGTATTGGGTGATTGCCAATTCTACAATCGGATTCAAATTTTGATGGTTCGTCAATAGCTTGATCACACGATTTTCCACAAGAAACAAGATTATTATAAAAATCTTGACTACACATACATTTGGGAATTTGCCACGTATCTGAAAATAAATGTTGGATTAGCTCAAATAACGAAAATTTCGAATTCCTTATTATTATTTATATTACCTAAACCCCATTTATCTCCAAAAGTTGGTCTTGTAAAATCAATTTTGAAAAAACAAGGCTCTAACAACACATTCATTTCGTTACAACTATCGTCAATCTTTTTACAAGTTTTCTGTGCTAATACGTTGTTGTTGTATTTCACGATATATAAAAATAATATTAAATAAAATACAAGTAATGTTTTCATATTGAAATTGATAAATTTTTTTATAAAGAAAATAAATTATAGGATAGGAAAGAATTTTTTTTTGGCACAAAATTTAATAAGTATTTCTCATGCGTTGTTTATTTTATTTTTTTTTTTTGGTTTGTTGGAGGAAAATCGTTCCATTAATAAAACTATTCATGCATAGTCATGCAATACGGATGTATGTACGTTATGGAAATAATAAAAGTTCTCGATCCGAAAACCTCATATTATCCACTCAATAAATTTTCCGTATTTGGGTCTCAATAGACATTTTTTATCATTTAACGGAAATCTCGATTATGTCACATAATAGTATGATCGACAATGTGATATGAGCAAATAAAAAAAATTGATAACGAAAAAAAGATTTTATTATGTATAACTAGCAATTCTACGTGGGCGATGCCTCAGGAATTTGCAAACATGACATTAAAAAAAACAAATATAAAATAATTAAAGTTAAAATGCTTTAAAATCATACATTAAACTTATAGTTGATATAAATTAATAAAAACCCTAACCGTAACCCCTAATCCTATCTCGTTGTTGGTATTAACCTTAACTTTATTCGAATCTGAACTCTAAACTCTAACTTATAATGCTTTTAAATTTAAACGTAATATAATGAACATTTTACAAAAAGTAACAATCTACAAAGTTATTATAAAAATAATAATTTTTATTAATTTAATTAAAGGTGATGCTCCGTAAGGGTCAGTTCGGGTCTGGTTTGAAGCATATTCGTATTTGAACCTGTTAATATTTACAGAACCCGAACTCGACTCGACCCGAAATTTGTTCAACTCGGATTCCATCCTATTGATTATTGTTTAACCCGAATTCGACTCGAATTTTCAAGGGTAATATTAATACCGAAAGTAAAAAAAAAAATTACTTTAAATGGATATTTAAAAGAAGTATATTTATTAAATTTGTAAGTTTTATTTATTTTATTTGTGCATAAATTCTAATTCAACATTTTTTTATGTATATGTTATTGCAACCAGGATTCAAACACATACAGGCGTGAATTGTATTAGCTTTAAGCCCCTTATCAGTCAAGTTCCCGAATGCTAATTTCCCGAATATACCTTTTCCCGAAGTCATATTTCCCAAACGCTAATTTCCCGAACTGGACGTTTTACCGAAACATCCTGGAACCCAATTTCCTGTGTAGACACTTCCCGAATTCTAATTTCCTGAATCCTGAATTCCGAAATCCCGAATACCTAATATTCCGAATCCCAATATTCCGAATGGACAATTTCCCGAATCCCTATAGTCCGAATGGACAATTTTCTGGTTTTTATAGCAATAGAGCAAATTAATTAAGTTATAGCTCTCTTTGGTAATAGATTACAATAAAAATTTTGAACATAGATGATTACATACTCGGGCAACTTTCAAGACAATTCGTGATATAGGGATTCTGAAATATGGACATTCGGGATATTGGGATTCGGTATACTGTGACATTCGGGATATCAGAATTCGGGAAATTAAATGTTCTGGAAAATGGATGTTTCATGCATTTCGGGAAATTGGGTTCCAGGAAATTGGCATTCAGGTAATTGGATATTTCGGTAAAACATCCAGTTCGGGAAATTAGCGTTCGGGAAATATGACTTCGGGAAAAGATATATTCGGGAAATTAGCTTTCGGGCAATCGTGGTACAACCCTTTAAGCCCACATCTTTTGGTTGCTTTGGTTGCTATTAAATGTACGTCGCCAGAAAAACTCGTTCTACTGGAACGCTCGTTGCTTATTAAAATAAATTTTTAATTATTTTATAAACCTTAAAATAATCAATAAATATATATTTTATTACCTATAAATATGGATACTCTGTTTCATGTAATATATAAATTAAATAATTGAAATAATTAATTTTATCATTAATACATACTTTCCACCAAAGAAGAATATGTTGATTTTGTGCTGCTCGAGAAGCTTTAAGTAAATATAATTCCACTTCGTTTTGTTTAATATTTTGCTTTTCATCATTAACATATTTGACTTGTAAATCAGTATCAACAAGGACGTATTTGGTATTATAAATCAAACAATTTCTTTAGCAAAACGAATAAACTTTGTTTCCATTTTTTATCTTCATAATACAGTGCATACAACTTAGTCCTAACAAATAAAATTGACAAAATTTAAATTGCTACAGTGCAAACAACTTAGTCCCAACAAATAAAATTGATAAAATTCAAATTACTACTACTCACTCAAAAAATATGATAAGCATAAAATATGATCATAGAATGATAGAGTAACTCAAGCTTAACAAAACTATGACTTTAGTTTTTTTATAAAATGATTTTTGGTATATAGAGTATTAGCAATTTAAAGTCAGACCCTTTTACTATTAAATCAGATATTTTGTCCGTTCTACACATAATACACGTGATCATATTGCCTATCGTTGATTGGCTGATTTACATTTTTGTAACACCGGCTATCTTAAATTGTGTTTTACTGAGAATAAAACAAATTTGCTCCTATTCTATCACAGTAAGGTGTTATGTCACAATAAATATTCATTTCAAAATCTAAAGGCATTAATATTTTAAAAAATAAGTTTATTAAGTATTTTGCATTAATTGTTATAATCAGTATTTGCATAACACTAATTTTTTCTCTTTTTTTTTGCCTATAGCCAATGCAAATAAATTTATGCAAACAAAAACTAATTTACTAAATATCAACTGGTTGTAAGATTGAATCAGAAACCCGACGGTGTAAATGATACATTTTAACTGCAAATTCTGCTGCTTTGCTCGTTAAACCTTTCTGATATACATCCATATAGCGAAAAGCTTTTCTTGCATATCGGTGGATAGTTGTAAGTGAAACAGAAGGGCTAATGGAACAGTTTCTTGTAATCCTGTTTACAAGTAATCATAATGTAGCTAACTAAATTTTTTAGCTGCATCCCAGAAGTTTTCAATATAGTTAAGCTTACAATTAAATTTGGGTAAAATATAACTTGATGTTCAGCTGCAATAATAGTCTCTTCTAGTCGTCCCTTTTATGCTAAAAAGTCTGATTGCTCACTCATTAATTTTTGTGCTTCTTCTAATTTTAATCCTTCATTTGACCACAATCTTCTTTCCATCAAAACTTGTTTTAATTCTTTTGGCTGTTCACATAATTTAGAAATATGATGGTTTAATGGAAAAACTATATCTTGTTGAATCCTATCACCAAAATATGTGCTATACATCTTTGGCTGCTTTCCTTCAGGGCTAAGGTTAATATATTTAGCAACAAGTGCATCTAGTGAAAAAGCAGAATAACTTAATACATTGCAAATGCAAACAATGTCTGGCATCCTGAAAAACATGCTTCAAATATAGGTATAGTACGTTCAACCACTTGATTTACTAAGTCCTCAGCCTTTCACTATCTATCATTATTTTTCCCGGATGCATAATGACATAGGTTTCTTAGGAACATCTGATATTTGCATTTTGTTGGAAAGGGCAAGATAACCACAAACTTCAGTTAAAAAATCGCTAACATGAATTGAGCGACTGTTATTTTTTTTCGCAAAGGTTGCTCTTCATTAGGCTTAGACTTCTATCATAAGCTGAGAAAATGCATTCATCATGTGTGACAAGGATGGTAGTTGCATATTATTATCTGGCCAGGTTACTTTTTCCAAATTATCTCCTGAGAAAATAGGTATTCTATTCTCAAGTTCATTCATTCATTCTAAAAATACTTTTCAATAGAATACCACATCTTTCCTTTTATGTCTGTCTACATACATTCCCTTTTTTACCTTAGTGTATACATATCCTAACTCTTTCAAATAATTCTTTGCAGTATTGGTATATATAGTTGAAAATGACGCAAATCCAAGAACTGGTAAAATGATCTTATTCATCTGTACCATTAGTATTTGCAGAGTAATGTCCCATTTATGCTCCTTAATATATGATTTTACTTGAAGAAGGATATCCTCATCCCAAAGAAAACTCCAAATCTTAGCATGATGTTCTCAACGGGAATAAGGAATTTGGTGAGTTGTTACATATTTATATGTTTAAGAATGAACAGATCTGCTATGATATATTCCTTTTCCTATTACATTAGTAACAATATTACTTGTTTCCATTTTTAAGTAGTTGTTTTTTACAAGTTAAAGGTAAAGATAAATGCTATTTAAACACATCCAAATCTCACTATTTTGTATTTTGAAAGATGATTTCAAGATCAGCTATAAAACTAAGACATCATTTTTCTATCAAAGGTGATAGAAAAGGTATATAAAGTATTTTGTTATTTAGCAGTTAGGATAATATTAATTATTATATTGTAACAATAGTTCAAAAAAAGAAATTCAATAATTTAAGTTGGAATAGGAAGTTGGTTAATAAAAGAAAGTATTAAAAAATACTTACTATATCATCATGATTATAATAATTGTAAAGAAAATAAAGAAAATTATAATAATAATGATAATAATAATAACCAACTTCCCACCTCCTAAAAAAGAAAAGAAAGAAAAAATAGTATGAAGTATATAACCAACTTTTACGAAAAAAAATAATAATATGAATTTATTAATCAATTGATCTTTATTATTATTATTATTTTTAATTATTTTTTAGATAATTTTTTTCCTCCTCCTACTTTACCATCAATACCACCACATTTTTATTTAATTTATGATGAAAATTTGGGTAATTTTATAGGTTTTTTTTAAAAAAATAATAAAAGACAAAATATTTGAATTTAATTTATCATTATTTCTTTTCTTTTTTTATTTTATTTTTTAATTATTATAGAAGTTGGTAACACCAATACCATCAATATTGCTGCAAAAAAAGTTGCTACTACCCCCAAAGTTATCGCTAATGAAGTTATCTCCACCAAATCTATTTCAAAAAAAGTAATTTTTATATTTATTTTTAATATTACATCATGAAATAATATATATAATATAATATAATATAATATAATAACAATTTCAAGAAATCGGAAGATTTATTATTCTGATTTAAAAAAATCAGATAAATATTTTATATTTTATATTTAAATTTTAATTTAAATTGTAACACTTTTATTTAATATAATAATTAATTAATTTATATAGAATAAATGAAATTTCTTTTTTATTATTATTTATTTTTTTTTAATAAAATTTTTTTAATTTCAAAAATGATATTTATTTAATGATTAAATGTATAAAAATTGCAATCAAAATTATGTATATGGGTGTGTTTCTAGCAAAATCAAGGTATGGATCATATGATTTACTATATCTCATAACTTGATTTTACTGGAAACGTTCCCATATAATATATTAATTAGACATAAAAAATCCAACCAAAAATAATATACAATATACTGATTAGATGTAAAAAATTCAACCAAAAATAACGTATACAATATACTGATTAAAAGTATAAAATCTAACCAAAAATAATGTATAAAATGTACTGATTAGACATAAAATCTATGTAAAATTACATATATAATATACTGATTAGACATATAAATTCCGTATTTTTCTGTATACAAAGTCAATTTTCAGTATTTAGTATATAGAAATATTTACAAATTTATTATATTATTTTCTACATTTATTATAAGTTTTTTAAATGTATTATTTTCGTATAAGTTAATTATACAGATTATTTATAGGGAATATGCTTCAAACTCAATTACTAATGATTATTTATTAAAAATAAAATTTAAAATCTAGTGACTTATTAATGGCAAATTTAGTAACAAAGAAAAAAAGATAAGAAAAAAAGGCTATATAGTATTACAAAATAAATTATTATTTGAAATTGTCTATTTTATATTATAGAAATTGTTTTATAATAAATTTTAATAATAAAAATAATGCTTGATAATGGCAGATACATAATTATATACCTTATACAAGATTTATTATAGTTATTATAACTATATTATAAAAAAATCACAGGATACTAGATAATATTGCAATGCAAGAATAATACAAAAATGCAAAATTTCTTAATTTTAATTAAGGTATTAAACTTCTTTTATTACTACCACTAATATAATTGAACCAATGCAATGTATACATTATAATAGTATATTTCATTATGTTATATATATATTTCTTATTGAGTATGCATGTATTTATCTATCATTTTATTATTCAAAAATAAAAAATATAAGGTGTCGAATTTTTAAGTTTCATTATATTTTATTGAATGAAAATACAAATATATTATATAAATTAAAAATAAAAATAAAAATAAAAAATAATTATTACTCTGCATTTACTTCACCTAAAAACAAAAAAAATTATACAATTAGAAACATTAAAAATTATGATAAATCTTTAAAGGTTACTTATCACTATCTTCTTTATCTATCTCATTAAATAGTAGAGGATTTTGTGTTTATGGTAGTTATTATCATTATTGATGTTATTATTATCATAGTTATCATAATTGTTATGATATAATGGTGGTTGTGGTGGTTTAATTATTATTGTTAATATTGTTGTTGTTGTTGTCTGCATTTTTAATGTATAACGCAGTATTTATAAAAGTGAAGCTCACTTTTTTTTCCATAATTTTTTGTAAATAAAATTTATGAAGTTGCTTTTAATGTAAAAAAATCAATATTTATGATATCTATTTTTAAATTTTATGTCAATCAATTATATAATATGATAAGAAATTGAATTTTATGACAAATTACAATTGCAATAAATAAACCGCAGTTCACATTAATTTTTTTTAATAAATAAAAAATTAAAGTAAAATTTTACCGTTCATAAAAAAATAATAATTATCATTAATTGTATATAATATAGGAGCTGATCTATTAAAAATGGGTAACGAGACTAGTAAATTGATTTCTAGTAATTAATGATCAAAAAATAGTTATATCATAATAAACATACTTAATAAATAAAAAATTGTACTAAAAATAATATTGAGTCTAATTAATTAATAAGGTAATACAAGAATTATTACTCCTTACTTAGTGGTTAAGCTGCAAGTTTCTATTAAACTATAAGCTTCATTGCAAAGCAATAGGCCATAGTTCAGATATTATGAGATACATAAAACTAGATGATTTTCCATAAGGAATTTCTTTATAACTGAACAAGTGAGCGTATATACTAATACACGTTAAATTCTGGTTGATCGATCTGTCAATCAATATTGATTATGCCTAAATACTACACAGCATTAGAACATGTAGATGCAAATGAAGCTAGGGATCAACCGAAACTTGACCTTCGCTGATTGGTCTGTAATAAATACAATCTTACGTCTCACCCAGCAGAAGCCTTTATTTTCATATATAATCATAAGATTGTATATAAATTAAGGAAGTGATTAACCAGAAATTAGTAGATTAGATCAACGTGATAATAAACTGCATTGCATACTATAGCATTATTTAATCGAGCATATCATTGGGTCTGAGATTAGGTTCGATTCCTAAGAGATTTGTTAATATGACCTAATCATCACCCTGCTAGTTCACCATCTAGCAAATCTTGTAGTAATAATCCTATAAACCTTACGGCATTAGTTAAATAAGAGTATACTCTAGCAAAGTATATGGTGTAATGGATCCCTGTGTCCTATTATGATATGTGGTTCTGGATGGCTGATAACCAGCAGGAGGTTGTCAAATTCTTCTTAATGGGTTCAAGCCAGCAATAGCACCACTATGGGCAATAACAATATCTGGGTCAGTTACAATGGTGTGAGTTGCCAATGGCTGAAAAAAGACCTGCGGAAACCTATAGGGAGGGACTGGCCATAAGGATGACTCATAAGAATTGTCAGGCTGTTAACCCCTTTCAAGTACTATGTACTGTAATCAATAAAAAAAATTAATAAGGCGATACTTTAATTTTATATATATATCATTTTATATTAATAATTATTTTTGCAAATATTAAATTATTTTAAAAATAATGAAACGATAAAATACCTAAAATTTTGCTATTAAATCCACTTATCAAAAATATTGTTACATCAATTTCGTAATACTTGAGATTTTTGAGATTTTGCTATTAAAACCATATTTATAAAATCTAATTTTAGATATTTGATTGAAATAACACAGAAATTTAAGCATTTTGCTGGCCAAATTAATTGATTTATTAATAAGCTAATAGCCTCTAAAAATTTAACCAAATAAAGTTCATTTAATGTATTATAATATGAATCAAAAATCCCGTAACCCATTTTTAATAGCACAGCTCCCATATATTTTAATTCTACCAAAAATTATACCACGACAAATATGCAATAAACGAGGCTGATTATGTAGGAACTCAAGAACTGCCAGAAATGTCAATTTAATCGATCGTCACAAGCGCTAGAAACTTAATATATTGACAAATTATCATGTGCAATCAACATATTATAGTAGTAATTGATAAAAACACTAAAAATGGTAGTTCTTTATGTTTGCTAATTTCAAATGAGAGTCGCGACTCAGTCAGTAGCTGAGTCAACTGTAAAGTGTCTAGCGGCTGAACTGATGCGACTCCAAAATTAACCACGGGCTGGTAGTCTTCAATCGGGTTGGGTATATATGACCCTACTTGATACATTTTTTTGCGTAACATCTAGTGTCATTTATGATCCCAAAAATGGGGACGTTAGCTATAAGAATCATTTTATGAATTTTATGAGACAAAATCAAATGTTCCGAGATACCAAATGAACTTCCGAAAAGCTTATAAAATTCGTTTTAAAACAACAAGCTATCAAATGATCTAAATGAATTTTCATTGAAATATAAGTTGATATTAATCATCTTAATAATTACAATTAGGCAGATGATTTTTATTTGATTTCTTTTTTTTCTTTTCAATTTTTTTAGTTCTTCGACACAAACATTCAGTTCCAACTTAAATGAAGCAATTTACACGGAAGCAATTTATATTTTATATTTAGATATAGAATGATATTGAAAATATAACCAATTTAACAACACATTTTGTAATTACAATTCGGTATGACATTTGAGTTCAACATGTCGGAATAGTCAGAACCTTTCTCTTATTAAAATTTATGAGATGAAATCGAGCCGATCCAAAAATTTTTCAGATTGATTTTTTCACAAGCTGAACCAATAAATTTGGAATAGCAAATGACTAATATTTTCATTTGAAAAATTGCCACTTCAACATTTGACATAGAAGATATTGTTTTAAGCAGTTCTTAACGTTTATGGGTTATAAACGAAGCAAAGGTAAGCAGAATGCTTATATTGTAAATGCAATGTTATTAATAACAACTTTAACCAACATAAAACTATGTAAATAAGGCATTGCCTCAATCGTCGTCGCTATATACGATCAGATATGTAATTTATTATTTACTTTCGTTTTCGTTACAAATAAAAGGGAAAGGGGATATATGCTAACCACTATACTAATACTATCTATTGTTATTATCTAGGGAACATAGGGAACGCACACTTTCTACTCAAGCGAAATCCCACCTTTTTTATACTTAAAATTCAACAAGGATCAATTGTTCGGAGGCCTTTTTGTCTTCGAAACATAATGGCCGGATGACATATTGGCCAGGACAAATTGGTCGGTAGACAATTTGGCCAGAGGACATTTAGGCATTGACAAAAAGTCTAACTAAATCTTAAAATTAAACTAAACAGAAATGGGACACAATGCCCTGGAACTAATAGTACACATAGATTACTAATTTTTCTCCGTAACAAGGTTTTTAATTATTTTTTGCTAACATTGATAATATTATTAAAATTCATGTTCGGATCATATGTATGTCTCGTAACCTGTCCTGTGTTAATAGATGAATTTTTATTGGTAAATTTTATTTTTTTCTAAAAAAAAAAGAAGAATAAGTTACGAGACAATTTCTTTAGTAAAATCATTTTTAAATCCCTTTTTCTATATATATTTGACAAATTTATAATGCGTAAGTTTTGACTCGCAATACACTGAAGAAATTGAGGCAAGGAAAATTTTTTACTTCGCATTATTTCAAGTCATTTCATTCGTGAGGAACTAATTGAAACTCGAGTCAGGTTAGATTTATTACACATCTTAAAAGAATTGAATGATGATTCACATGGAAAAAATACGTAAACATTAAAAATTTGTTATTGTTATTGTATTTTTTATAAATTTATTTACCGTAATAATATGATAGTTTATTTATGTGTATATTCATTCAAAGCATCTTTTATAATATTGATATTTTCAGCACCATTTCTTCCTAAACCTATGGATAGCATCATAACGGTACTCTTGATCAGCAATAAGATCCTCGAAGGATGTAATAAGGTTTGGGATGTGATCATTGATATTCTCATTAAAATGATTTTTAATTAATTCTAATCCCATTGCATTGGATCGTCTTAAAACCATTTCAAAGTTTTCTTGACAATCAATAGTAAAACTATCAAAATTTGGTAATGGATAACCTTTATCGTCATATTGCTGAATAAAAATTCTTTTTTGACGTATTCCTTTCTTCAATTTGTATATTTCAAATGCAAGTGCCAATGGAATTTTCAATAAGTTCATCTTTTCAACGGTTAAGTCTAAAAAGATTGAACCTGTTATCTTGTTTTTTTCGAAAATTTTCGTCTCTCGTGGCGTCCATTTTTCTTCCAACCGAATTTGCAAGAACTCATTTACTTCCTGAACGCACCAGTCTCGAACGTCTTGGGTTCCTCTGTTGTTATGAGAAGAATGGTATCTATTATACCTTTCTAAGTAACTGGTAAATAGACCAAAAAAAAAATGGTTAGTTTTTAAGTGTGTTATCAAAGAATTATTTTAATTCTTAATATTTGGAGATCATACTTGGGCGGAATGGTTATGTTGGTTCTTCTTTGCAAAGTTAAAGGTAGAGTTCTTTGTTGAGAGGTAAACAATTCAGGTCGAGAAATTCTCGCAATGAGACCATATGCTGAAGGGGAGAAAAGATTGTGCGTAGGCTTGACTATTTTTGTTTTTCTTTTTTGTGACATTAGGAAAAGGTCTCTTGGTGGAAAGGTGCGTAATGCAGGGTAAGTAAGTCTCGCAATAAGACCTTTTAAATATGACATGTTATGAAATACAAACTAAAAAGCTAGGTCAGATAATCATTTATTTATATATATTTTGCCACAATAATTAACGTACCTTTCTATCATGCGGAACAATTCTTTATTACTGCTTTTAATTGATATAAATGACTTTTTATTTGTATCAATTAAATCAAATCAAGCCAAGCATTATGCATTCCTTAAAACTTTACATATTAAAAATTTTTAAGGAACTGTTTCGTTCTGATTTATATAATTTAAATCAAAATTATTTAATTGATAACAATATGAGAATTTCGAGGCATATAAAGGCATGCTGATAGTTAACTAAACGGGACAAAGTGTTAAAAGAATAGGTACTTTCCAGATTGGAAGATATAATTTAAGGATTTAATCTATCACAATATTGGATTCATACAAAGAAAGGGATCGACTAATTTGGATAATTAATATAATTAATTATTGTTAGTCATTTAGGGTTGGTCTATGGAAAAATTCATAAATTTCGGAAAATGGGCAGATTCAAAAATAAATATATTTAATTGACTTCCATATTAAATTGTAAATCAACATACTTGTTTTTTTACGATTATGAATAAACCATAAATCATATTAATCTACGTCAAAATGTGATAAGTTGATTTAATTATGACTGGAAAATGGCATGTCAATACATAAATGCTTTAGGATTTCAATCCAAATATTGGGTTTTTTTTTTAAAGCTGTCGAATGATCTAAGATCTAAATTTATTAAATGATCAAATTTGCATTGACGAAATATTGAAAAAGGGATATAATGTAATGCATAAATATTGAAAACCAAACAAAAAATCCCTACATTGATGATCATATTAATAAAACTTTGTTCAATTTATTGGATTTAGTGCGAAATTGTTTTGCCAATAATTATTTTCAATTTAATACTATTCAATTGTTGAAAAAAATAAATAACTTATTTTTACAATAAATGAATGTTGATTTTTAATTTCTTTTTAATTAATATAATGAAAAGCAACAATTATTTAGCACCATATGAGTTTAGATCATTTTGAATCGCAGCTAACTATTCTTCATATTCAACACAGCTGTAATTAAATTAAACATAATTTAAAAGTTATAAAATTTTCTAAATTCGGGTGAGTTATGAAAATTCTCGAAAAAATGGCTTTGTTTATTTATCTAATTAGAAATTTCAAAAAAGGCGTACTGTTACTAATAATAAATCCGTTTATTATTTTCTTGGGCATTGTTTCCCAAGATTTTTAGTTTTAGTTTATCAATTTGCCAAATTGTCTCCCGGCGAATTTGTGTTTTAACATGTCCTAGGCCAAAATGTCTTCTGGACTAACGAAAATAATGTTAAAATATTTGGATTTCGCTTGTTATAAGTTCATGAATAATAATAATTTAGATAAAAAATACTTTCTTTACTTACATTGTATTCGTTTTTTATTAATTGAAATACCTAAACCTTCTGGCACAATTGTTTGTGAATCAAATTGGAGAAGAGATTTTCAGAATATTGTAAGTGATCCTACTGCGTATTTACTGACAATCTAGGCCATCAATAAGGTACTAAGTGCACGAAAGTGACGAATAGTTAAACTTAGCCATTTTTGATAAATAATGCCCTTTGATGAGAGAAAATTTATTTTGGGAATGATCAAACTTTTTTTTGTACAACGGCTGATTGAATTGATTTATTCAACAATATGATGCACTTACTATTTAAGGGAATAAATTCGCAATAAAAAGGGTTGGGTTTACATAAATATAATTTACTATTTATTTACATTTAAATTCATCAATTTGTGGTTTTCTTCAGAAAATGAAGAAGTTTATCGTTAAAGAGTGGGCTGAGCTTATTTCAGTCCCAATTACCTTAGATGAGAAATCTCAAAGAGTTTTCGATCATGCTGAATTGCCCGCAGTGGACGATGAGCTATCATTGACATTGTGACTAAAACTTCACAGTCATACTTCCAGTTGGGCTATTATTTTTCATAAGGGTATATAGTAAGACAACTTTTTTTTTTTTTATATTAAAAATTTTTTTTTTTACTTGGTCTCAAATTAAATAAAATATATTTAGGTACCGAATCGTTTATCCGAACTCCTAGGCTCGAATCGGTACCAAAGAAATCCTCATTGCATGCTCGGTTTACAGGCAATTGGACTAACAATGCAGGAATTTTTGAGCTTGGTGATGGATTTTGTTGAATAGGTGGTATCATATAGCCTATACGCTTTCTGATTTTGAAAAGAGATTAGACATCTACATTGACGGTCAATGGGCCGGATTTTATGGCATCCAAAACGGAAAAGGTTGTCTCCAATAAAGGACCATTATATTTCGAACGTTCTTTTGACAATGGGTTTAATGGAGAAATTTGGTATGACTTATTATAACAATAAAGTTAAGCTCGATAACAAAATATTAAATTAATAAACATGTTTACTAATAGCAATTTTCGTTATTTTAATTGCGTATATGTGACGAAGAAGTGAAGAAAGATTTCGACGTAGGTTAATTTAAAGTTTCGCACAATGAACAACATTTTATAACTTTATTTTAATAATGGATTTCAGAAGAAACAAATTTCATATGGATCGAAGGTCGCTCTTGTTCATGTATCTACTGGAAATATTTAACTACTAAAGGAATCAGATATTCAATTACAAATAAAAATATGGTACATGTATTTGCCAAATTTTATTTGTTTTTTATTACTTATCGTTATATCAAAAAAATTAACATTGTGTACTTGTTAAGGCTGTTTGTACTGGTCGAGAAATAGATTTGAAAAATGATGTTTTTACTGTTATTGAAGCTCTTGGTAAGAGTGTAAATGCGGGAATCCCGGTGCATTTTAATACTATTATTGGATTTAAACATCTTGAGACAGCGGCATTTTTACATTCTCATGCTATTCTTTATTATGGAAGCACACCGATTTCGAAGCATCTACAAGGAGTGCTTGGAAGCATTAATATTTTAACGAAAAAACATTTGCAATTATAGTTTACATAGTTAATAATATTTAGTGACTATCTGGGATGGTAGAGATGGCAACGACGACTTTTTCATTCGACGTTATAATTCAAACACTTATAACGATGAATCGGGATATTTGTCAAATGGTGATATAATTAGCCTACTCCATGTACTCAGTGGAACGGCACTTTATAGTCATCCCGTATTATTGGATGATGGAACTCAACAAGTTTCTTGTCATGGAAATGGAAATGACGAAAATAAGGTACATACTTTACAGTGATATTCAAAATGTAATATGGCCATTTGTTTACTTAATGACATATTATAAATTTTTTAGGTGCGTATTGAATTAATTGATGATTCGAAATTTTTGAAGAAGTATTCGTAAATTATAACGTTTCTATATTAAGTGGTGATTTTTGCGCCAATTTAACAGTAAATGTTTTCAAAAAACGTAAAAGTTTTCTTGAGAAAATGTAATGGAGCTTTTATCCTCAAATCCGGAACTTGTTAAAGCTGATTTTTGAAAACGTCAGGTTATATGACGAAGCCTATGACGAAATGGGTAATACTTGTTAATTCATAACCCCGAAAGTGGTTAACCAATTTAGGACAATGAAAATAGTTATAATAGTTATAATTTAAAGCATAAGATTAAAATAAGTAATTTTATTATTTAAATAAACATATTATTATTTTAGTTAAAGATTTATACAAATCCTATTAGTAGTTATACAAAAAATATGGGAATAATTTGTAAATGCTTGCATTCAATTTTCATATTTATGAGAATAAGTTAATATCATATATTTGTCTATCAATATGAGAATTAAAATCATAAGATCATGAGTAAAAATATTTTATGGATTATCTATAATTAATAGAGTCAGCAATTTACAAGAAATTTTATCTTCTCTGCTTTTTAGTTTAGTTTGCGCCTTTTTTTAACAATTAGGAAGAAATTACCGCTGCGAAGTAATGTAATGATGCGCGTTGATCGATTTTTGTGATAAATCATAGCGTAATTTCTCCAAAGGAATATTCTGAATTTCATACAAAAAGAAGAGAAGGTGAGGCGGTTAATGAATCCTTTTATCCGCCTTGTACAAAAAATAAAAATTAGCGAAACTAATAAATCCCCAATCAAACTTACCTCTATTGTGCTATATCATAATCATCAATCAAAGCATTGTAATAGTTTCTCTAAATAAAAATATACCGGTATGCCTGTCATTTTGATCCCTTCCATATATTCTAATCAAAAAAAATTGTTTTGTTAGATGTCTGCTCTTCTTGTTATATACAGTATATCAAAACATTCGGGAAAATCATCATCATGTGTCTCGTGGCATCTGATTTTTGCCACATGCATTGGCAAAGCAAAAGTTTGGCGCAATTATAATACTGTTCATCAAAAAATAAAAATTATTACATTCCGCTATAATGCGCCGACTGGACGGAGTGGAATTCTATGAAAATTATGTACTGTATATCGGTAAGTTTGAATCGTGAAATATTGCATTGCTTTATCTCATTGCTAATCTCTCGAATTTACGCTGTAGATTTAAAATTACTTAATATCCAGAAAGTTCTCTTGCGGAACTTAGTTAAAATTGATACTTTCTATATAACTTATTTGGATGGGGGGTGATTTAGATAGTGAAAATTTTGTAAATATAGTTTTTTTCATGTTTGTAAGAAAGGGTGTGGGAATCTCATAGTGATAGAAAAAACTATTAGTATAGAAATTTATAAGTCTGAGAAAGCAAAGAAATAATTTGATGCTGGGACTCGCATTAAATAGCCTAGGATCCGCGTACTCCCTCCCTCCCTCTTTGATAGTATCATACATTTCATAACATTTATCTCTAATAAAATTATATTTTTAATATGATATGATATGTACGATATAAAAAAAATTCAGCCATATCACTTATTGTATGAATCTGATATATAATACATATTCACGATGACTCGAATTTTATAATCATTTCTTATCAAGATAATTGATATACAGAACCTCATACTTCGAACTTACAAAACGCGTTCTCATAATAATCAATGAAGCACAAGCTCATTAAGATTTGGACACGCTTACATAGCTTGATAATATTTAAAATTTTAAATCATATATAAACATCTCAAAAAAATAACTCATTCCTCATTTAATTTTTTTTTTATTCACGTTTCAGGTTTTAATTCTCATTTTTTAAATCATTTTTTTTTATTTTACCTTTTATATTAACTCTCTCTTAGTTAAAATAAAGTAAGATGAAATTTTTTGAATTTTTTGACGAATACAAAAAACGTGTTCCGGAAGCCACACCTGAGCAAATCAATGAAGCCTTTAAAATTAGCGGTAAGTTGAGCTGTATTATTTATTATTTACTTGCCAAAAAACTCTACAATCTATCCTTGATATACCGACAAGTCCTGAAATATCGTTTTATATTGTATTCTTAACTAACTTTGCTTTTTTTGGTCTCCTAACCAAATTTAGATGAACATCAAGGTAAGCCTTTGCATCGTAATGATTGGTCAACTCGAATGTTATGCAAACTTGTATTTGTTCGTCCATTTCTTTTTATTATACACAATTAGAGCCTAGAAAACGAAAACTCAAGAATTCAGTTATATCAACTGAAGGACCAATCTTTCATTACAGTGGCAGGCTAGTTCTCCCAATACATGAACGAGATATATTCAATATAGTATACAGTGGAGTTCAAGAGGAAAAATCGTTCGTGATACATGGTCTGTACCAATGTGGAAAAACATCTTTCTTAATTGCACTTGAAGAGATGCTCCGTGATTTAAATGTTACGCGTTTTGACATGACAGATGTAAAAGGACATATAAATCAATATGGAACACAAGCTGGGTTTTTCCGTTATTTGTCACGTCATCTCTTTAGGGAAACTGTTGATGAATTACATTTTAACGAATGTCTTGATGGACTTAAAGATCGTTTGTATCTACTGGTAGATGAGTTCCAGTATATCTTCGAATCTCAGGAACTTTATAATGTGTCAAGTGATTTCTTCAGATCACTCTCTTCCAAAAAATGTAACCTATGTTTGTGTAGGCACCTTTAAAGTTGTAGATTTGTTGAGCGATGATAACCCATTAGGTTCTCCTTATAACAAGGCCACTTTTCTCCCGATGCCATTCTTCACAACTGAAGAGTTGGGTAAACTCTTCAGTTTGTATAATGAATTCTTTGATGAGGTTTTCCCGATCGATATACAATCAATCATCATGCGCGAATCCTTTGGACATCCAGCTTCCTTTATGATTTTATTAAAGCTCTACCATGATTTTCGGACGAATTCACCAATCGAATGGAACCGTTCATTGAAAGAAAATTTGGAAAATTATCTAAATTGGACTCATGTTAAAATTACGAGAGCATTACGAAGGATGAACTCAACAGATCTAGCACACGTCCGTGACTACACAGCAGTTAGAAATGAATCTTGGGAAGTAGATTTATCAAACCTCAGCGAGATTGACAAATATCTACTTAATATTGGCATTCTGGTACCAATAACAAAAAAACAGAGAACTAAGAGGAGCTAAAGTTTCTTTTACGAGTAACGTTATATTTCGTGTTGTCTTTCGGGAGGTTTGGCCAAAGCCAAGGAAATCTTTGCAAATACGGGATGTGAAAGACCCTATCTTTTTGTTAGCACATTCATTACAAAATGTAACACCGGCTACAATCATAAATGAACGAGTAAGAAATCTGCATGGTCCATCGGAAAAAGCTTTCCAAGCAGCAGTTTACCGTGTCATGAATGAGCTACTTCCAATTTCAATGAATTGCTTATTTGAAGTAAGAATACGAAAGCATGTGGCACTTGATCTAATGGTGATTCAAAATAATAATAATTGGTGTGGTTATGAGTCCAACGTTGAAAAAATATCTTCGGCTCAGTTTAGAGACCCTGTGAAACAGGCTAAAAGATATGCTGAATATTTTAGAATGAACATATACTTGGTTAATTTCCACCATGATGGTGGCTCAACTCCAACTGTGGTTAATATCCCGGAAGGTGTCACTCTAGTGAATATAAAATATAATGCGGAGTGCACCAAATTTACTATTAATACGATTGATAATGAGATATCAGTCAACGTCTCATGATAAGCAAACATTCTGTTGTCTGTGTTGTATTTCTATATTTTTCATTTATTTGTAAACTAACTTAATATAGAATTTTATTACTATTCATATGCACAAATAATATAAATATATCATTTTTCTTATTATAATGTATGTGATCATAAATTTTATTATCGTAACAAGAGAAACTTCTGGGAAGAAAGCACAAATAATATTAACTGAAGAAATAATACGAAGACAGAGAAAATAAATTAATTAATCAAATAAGGAAACAATAAGAAGGAAGAAAGTAAACCTGAATTTCCTATTTGCTAAATAACGGAAGTACTCCTGAAAATTTGAAACGTATAATATAAATAAAATTGAAACTTAGGTTCACAAAATTTTAGACTAATGTAACGCCAATGATGATCTTGTCACACTAAACAGTATAAATTATTCTTGCTTTTCTCCACTTTTTGCTCCCAAGAAGATTGATTTCTCTTGATTTTAAAATAATTCATTCTCCACTTATCCAAGTGTCATAGTAATTTACTTCCATCTAACGATTCAATATACATCGGAAAGGTTTTGGAAATGATGAAGGATGGATTGAATTTGGAAATTTTCTAATTTCATTCTATCTTGTTCATTGAAAAAGTGCGTGAATATTCACCTCTATTTGCAACAAAAAAGAATTTTTCAAAGCAAGGGAATTGTAATTTGACACAAAAGTCGATTTACTAAAGCGCATAAATGAAGTGAATTTAACTTTTCGTAAACATTGCACGATGTTCCCCGGTTTTACATACCATTTTAGAAAGATGAGAGGAAGATGGAAAAAAAGAAAGTGAAAATTAAATGATAAATAGAGGAGGATGAACCATTAAAATTTTGCCAATATTTTATTAATTGAAACGAAAGAATAAAGTTGAGAAGAAAGATAAATTCTTACTTGAAAACGATAATAAGATTTATGGGTCTGCGGAAAGAAAACAATCAATTGGTATTTGTAGGATATTAATTGAATTATTCATTAAAAATAAAGGTTCAATGAATAATTTAAGAATGACGGTCGGTTTTTTCTATAACATGTCCGAGATGAAATGATTGAAGTTGAGTGAGTTGTTCAATCCACTGAATGAAATGTTTTCGGTAATGTTGGCTCAGTTGTTGTTAACGACACTTGAACCTTCTTAACATATTAATCGCTACGCATGCATCAAAAGATTCAATTTTAAGGTTTTAAGTTTCATTATTGAAGAGTATAATGGATATATAGATAGTTTTTTATTTAAACCTGTAAAAGTCTATTTGAAGATCTTCAATTTCTTATATGAATTTTATGTTATCCGAAAAAATGTCAATACATTTATTTGATCCAAAAGACTTGGAAATCTAATTGGAGCGTTGTAATCAGATTTGATTAAGAAGCTATATATCAAAAATCAGTAATATTAACAAAAAATATCATTATATTACTTCATTTTTGCAAAAACTCGAAATTCGATGATTTAAATATTTGGGCTTTAATTTTATAGAAAAAATCTTTTATATTTATTTCGTTAACAAATTCTTTTTTTTGGAAGCCGCTTGTAATTAAATAAAATGTTTTATTTCTCAAACATTTTAATATATATATATATATCAAATTTTATGGCATCTTTTATTTGTGTAAATTGCCTTGTTTCGATAAAGGATATCATCTTTTAATTGCACAATTTATTTTACTATTGACCGTAGGTATCTAGCAGGAAATAAAACATGGAGGAAATTATCGATAAGTTTATAAAATAGAAATAAAGACATCTTTACCATGATATTTTAACTGCCAAACCAATTTTTATTCCAAAAAAAAAAAATCTATTAAATTTAAAGACCATTTTTATTTTTTTTTTTTAGTTTATGTATTATAAAAGCTTTTAAGATTTGACCGTATGAATTTCTGAATTGGGAAGGGGTTACAAAAATTGATCACAGTACCGACTTATTTTGATTCAAAAGTAAAAATTTGTTTATTAAAAAGCGATTGCAGCGATGTACAATGTAAAAGGAGAAAAGAACTATATAATTCAACCTACTCAATCTATCGAAAAATATGATCTCTATTATAACTAAATTTTTCTTCTCATAGCTTTGCTACGGAATTACTTAAAAATATCGGTTGAAGGACGCATAGACAATTTAATTGATTCCTGATGTCATAAAATGACCAAATTGACATATATTTTCCATCAGTCCATTGGGTTCAAATGATAAGAAGATACGAAGTGAATCCACGAGATGCCGCGATCAATTTTGGCGCAGTCATATTTCGAGAGAATTATCATTTTGTTATCTTAAACACACTTAACCACCGAAAATTACTTTCGTGGGATAACTTCATATCGAGGTAAACATTCATAATTAAGGGGTTATATATCAAATTGTTTATCTTGTATTAACTCATTTTTTAATTAAAAAAAAAATTACAAAAATCAACATGATCGATTGAAAAAGTATTTGTTAGTTATGGAATATGATGATGGCGGTTCACTTAGAAATTATTTGAAGGAGAATTTTGATAATCTTACTTGGGGAGATAAATACAAATTTGCATTCCAGTTGGCTTGTGCTGTTTCGTGCTTACATGAAGAAGGAATTATACATCGTGATTTGGTAATCTTGCATAATGTAATTTTTTATTTGTTTATTTTTGTTGTTAATAATTAATAATTATGTTGTGTATACATCTGTAATAGCATTCTGGTAATATATTAATTCGTCAAGGTGTTATTAAACTAGCTGATTTTTGTTTATCAAAAAGGATTGAAACGACAACTAATCCGACAAAAATATTTGGAGTAATTCCTTATACTGATCCTAAATGTTTGCGTCAGAAATATTGCTAATATTGAGCCAATGAAAGGTCCTAAACAAAAATATGGTTATGGAATATGCTAAAAAAGCACTTGATTATACTATTCGAGCAAATAAAGTTGATGATTTTGTTAATTACTTGAAAGTATTTATTGAAATACGAAAGTTGAATTAGACAAACAAAAAACTTTAATATTAAAAATCTGACCATTAGAGATCCAATACATGTGCAACATAAAGGTTGGCAACCTAAATGATATAAATTAGAAGGTGAAGTGCAACCAAAGTAAAAAGCATGACAGATGCAGGATATTTACTAATATGGTTAATATGATTGACAATCAAAACAAAATGATAAAGACGAGGTGGCTAATAATTACACTGCCAAAAATGTAAACAAGCAGATCATTATGCTTCTTGATGTCTGAATGTGTGAATCTTATACTGTATGCTAAATGCTATGTATTTGATATGACAATAAGTTTTTAAAACCATCTCTGCCAGATATTAAGTCTTTGGTTAAATTTCCCAAAGCACCGCCTCCTCCCATGGCTGAACTGGCAGCAGCACTTCCGGCAGCTGCTCCGGCTGGATCACCAACTGCTCCTCCTGCTACCGGATTAAAATTTTCAATTTTATTATAATAAAATATAAATTATTAAATTTTATAAAGGTGATACAACACATGTAATTTCACTTGGAAGACAATTTAGCAATATTCTTTTTTAATAATATAAAAATAATTAAAAATTAAAAATTTTTAGTTTTTATAAAGAAAATAACTTGTATAAATAAATATTCAAAATTTTGATTTTAAATTAATACTAATAAATATAAATTATTTTTTTGATTTTACTCATAAAATATTATTAATTTTATTATAAAAATATTATTTATTTGATAATTAATTTTTAATTTATCTAAATCTAACTTTAATTATTAAGTAAAAAAGGGATAATATTAATAAATTTAATAAATTTTTAATGAATTTTATTTAATTTGAATTATAATCTTTTTAAGAATTTTATTAAATCTATAGTATTAATATTTTGATTCTATAAGTATAAAGTAATATATAAAACTATTAATATATAATTTGATTAATTTTTGTAAATTATTTAATTTTAAACAAATAATTATTTATTGTTTTATAAGATAAAACTATTAGTTTTTATTTAACATTAATTAGTAATACCAGCTATAGCCATTAGAGTTAGATTTAATGGCTAAATCAATTCTACAAAAATCAAGTAAAACGATTTTGAAATTTTCAATATTTGAATCATAACTGAGTATCTATTCCAAATTTAATACAAGATCAGATGAAATTTTTCATTAAATAAAACTTCAAATATTTAGTTAAATGGGATTCTTGTCAACATTATTTATAAAACTTATAATTATCTACTTTTTATAACATTAATATCTTAATATTTAACAAAAATTTTTATAATATATTTATAGTCATTAATTTCAAATAATAGTTTCGATTCAATTGATAACTGAGTTGACTGAAAAGTGTCTAATAGTTGACTGAATTGACTTTAGAATTTTTCACGACTGATACTACTAATATTAATAATATATTAAAAAATTTAAGTATATTAATATTTTAAATATTAACTATAATAAATTGATATATTTATTAATTATTAGAAACTAAAAATTTATATATTTGTATTAGAAATATATTTTTAATAATAATTAAAAGTTATATCTAACAATAATTATTATTATAAATAATTCATTAAAAAATATGAAATTCTTTTTATTAATTCAGAAGTTACATAAAATTTTATTCAAATTTTTTTAATAATACTTTAGTAAATAAATATAAAGATAGAAAATAATAAAATTATTAAGGAAAAATAGATTAATGACATTTTAATTAGATATTTGAACTAAAGCTTTAAACAAATCGATTTAATTTAAATTAAAACCAATTTGATCTGATTGAAGTATTTAAGTTTTATTTAGATTAGATTATAAATCTAAAAAATATTAATTTGAATTGGACTGATTTGAAATTTTAAATAATTTGGTTTGAATTCAAATTTTTCAAATTAATCTGAAAATTTTGGAGTTATTAAATCTAATACATTTTTTAATAAATAAAATTTAATTTTTCTAAATTACTTTGAAAAATATAATATTTTTTTTATTTTTTTAATAAATATTATACGCGAATTTTCAGATATGACTTTATTAGTATTTTTCTAATAAAAGTCAAATCTGATAATTTGACTATATTAGATTTTTTTAATAAAATTTTCTTCTAATAATTAGTTATAGTTAGAATTAGATCTCTATATAGTCATACTCTACATAGTCACATACATCCAATTTTTAAGAAATGTTTTAATTAATATTAAATTATTTTATATAATCATAAATCAATTATATTTACTATAATTACTATTACTTATTTTTCTAAACTTACATATTATTTTATTAATAATTAAATCTTTTTATAATTTTGGTTAGATCATAATTTTAACCAAAATTACAAATTATATAACTTATGATTATTGTATAAAATTTCATTTTAGAACTTAACATTATACAAGTTATCTAAAAAGAAATTTATTAATTTTAAAAAAAATAATTTTTTTGTAAAATAGCTATTACTATAAATGGAAATAATCTGCAATAGTGATTATATACTATTTAATTTATAATTCAGCAAAAATTATGATAATTTAAAAAAGAATAAATCTATATAATTACACTTTTATATAATTACTAATTTTGTTAAAACTGATTAATTAGCTCTATAGAAGTCTGATTATAATTCACTAGTGACTTTATTAATTTTTTTAAATAAATGATATTCAAAGAAGTTTATTATTAAATTAATTGTTAGATTATTCTAAAAATTTCAGTTTAGTTCAAAATTTTTCAATTCTATTAAATTATAATCTGAAATAATCCAAAATTTTTTAAATTGATTTTTTACAATCTGATATAAATTGAAACTGAATTGAAAAAATTTTTGGATTGATTCATTTATTTAGAGTTTTAGTTAGGACTAATCTAGAAATCCTTGACTGATCAAAGTTAGTATAGGCTAATATTATAAATTTGACAAGAATTTAAAATTTTATTTTCATCTGATCTGATCTTAATTTCCACCAAAATTCAATTCAATTTTTAATTGGTTATCTTTACTGGTTAATAAGTTATAATTTTTCTTAAAGAATTAGTTTACTTTATAATAATATTTCTTTTATTCTTTGATTAAATAGTTAAGTAAAATTTATAAAACACAAATTTCAATTTAAGAATGATGGCTCTAAGAAGGAAAATAGAGAAATAAGAGTAGGATGAAATGATTGGATATAATTAATTTATCAGTACATCCATATTAGTTAAAAATTTGAAGTATCTTATAAATAACAAGTGTCCAATTCAAATTGTATTTTTTTCAAATAAATTATCAAGATTAAATAATGAAATGATAGGTCATTTATAAATAATATATAAAATTTTAATTTTAATTTTTATAATATTTCATTCAAATTCTTTTACAATTTGATATACTTCATAATCTCCTATAGAAAATTTATCGTTTACATCTCTTATCCTTTTTTCATAACTGTTTAGTTGGCAATAATTACAATCATAATAATATCGAGGTCTTTTTGATGTAGTTGATCTCGATATACAAAGATCTTCATTAAATGATGGGCCATATTCACGAAAACAATATATTGCGTTGCTTGAATCCTTTACACAGCTTATAATTGGATTGTTAAGATTATCCTTATTCTTAAAAGAGAATATAAAACTATCCCTTGTTGTACTACAATCCTCAGAATAATCACATATTAAAGGATTATATCCACCAAGGATTTCATCTGTATTTTTTTCTTTGATGAATGTAACTGTATTAGGTATATTATCACATAATGCATGAAACTTATTGGGTTGAGTCCATCTCTGCTTCCTCTTAATAATAATTTGAATTTATATGGTAAATACAACTTGCTTTTGGTATCTTTTTTATCAATCCATCTTGAAACAAATGAAGCAATCCTTAAATTGACAATGTTTGAATCAATAATATCAATTTTTCGATTCCTCGGAAATAAAATATTAACGCTTGGTTCACTATTAGGATCCAAATAATAATTTAATAAATCTTCGTAAAGTTGAAGTTTCAAAAGCTTTTTATATGGATGAACCTTTTTGAGGAATTCTTCAGAAGATAAACTAAAAAATCTAATTAAGGGTAGACAATGTTGTAAGGTATTTTCCATGATTTTGAAATCATCATCCGACCAAGTTGAAGGATCAGTCAGGAGCGTAGGATTTTTTTCCAGTCCCCATCTTAATACATGCTCCCAAACGTCAACTTCCTTCATCTGTAAATCATCACATTTGATAAGTGGAATCAAAGATTTTTCAGGAAGTGATGTAAAAGCAAGTGATTGAAATATTTTTTCAGGTGATTTAGCCATAAAATCTGTACAAAATACTTGAAGTTTTGACAAAGAATTATATTGAAAACTTGTTCTATGAGTGAGTTCGAAATGTTGTTCAATCCATTCAGTTTTGTTTTCAATTAAATAATTCTGTAAATAATCAACTAATTCTTGAAGAAACAGCTCATCAGCAGCAACCATTACTTTCAAAATATCTGAAGTATCGTTTAATGAAATAATTCCACCATAAATTTACCTACATCATAAAAGATTTATGAAAATTAAAAGATGACGAAAGAAAATGGTAATAAGTCAAGTATACGTTTACTTCAAAATAATTTGAAAATTTTCTGGTAAAATATTTGGCAACTTGATATGAACTAGGACATTATCATCCTTTTTATTGCACATTCGTCGTAAATACGTAGAACGGTAACGCAATATGATCAAATATGCACGAAATATTTTCACATTCGGATCTTTACCAACTTCAATAGTAACATCATAGTATTCATCATCATCTAAAATATCAATATAATTTTGGCTTAACTTGGGAAAAAATTATGTCGACATTTTTTTTTTTTTAAAAAAAAAAAGAGAAAAAAATTTTATTTATGTAATTATGTTGTTGGACAAAGAGGTCATCAGACAATTTGTCCAACAGGTTATCAAAAATAGATTATCGCAAAGATACAACTATAAATTTTAAACGATTAAATAAAGATAATATTTTTATTTGTCGAGTATATAATATGAACGGCGCCAAATGGTGCGAATATATGGCTGGGTGATATTAATAATTAAACCGACCTTCATTTTTTATTTTTTTTAACGCCTTTTAATAACCAAATATACGATACTAGTCGTTGAATTAACCTCAGGTACCTTGTTTAAAGTTACGTTCATTATCATAATTAAAGTTTGCGCGCAAGGACCTTTTTGACTTCACAACAATGTTCTTCGCATAACTTTCATAATGGGTCACACTAAAACATAAAGCAGGTAAATAAATTGATTTAATACTTTTTATAAATACCTTAGGTTTTTTTTTTGTGAAAGACGACATAGAAATGGAATTTTTTATTCATATGGAGAATTATTAAATGAACATCAAAGCATTTAAGTGAGAAAGTTATTGAAGACATCGGAAATGCTTATAAAGGGTTATTGAGATACCGATGCCCTTTGAAATTATTTGATCATGAGTATGACACCAAGTTACATGAGATACTTTCTCAGGAGTTAAATTTTTCTTTATTTAAAAGATCATATGGGTGATGGCCTATTAAAATCACCTTACGGAACATATAATTTTTTTAAAAATAGTATTACGTGATAAAGTTAAGAACGATAAATACCCTGATTAATTTATTTATGTATAGTTATTGTTTTTCAAGTTCTATATATATTTTGTATATGCAACTAACATTGGGGGGTAATCACATTATTGCAGATTTTTTTGTGTAGATCATTTTCGTAATTTTTAAGCTGCCGCATACAAATTAATACTATATACTGCATAAAATTAGATTAGTTTTATTTGTGCGATGAATTGATACCAAATTTGGCAAAGATAAAATTTAATACTTCTTGTACAAAGTTAAGTTTTAATATTTATAATCTTACTGAAAATATATACATCAGATTGAAATATAATTTAATCGAAAACTTAAATATGATATATAAAATATGAAAACGTAAAAGTGTAGAGTGTTCGTATAAATCAGAAATTTCTCAAATTATAAAGAAAGAAGATCTGGTAAACGTTAAACATCTAAAAATAT